TTATGCAACAGTTAATAATATTTACATTCCAACTAATGTTCCCATCTTTGTTATTATTATCGTCACATTTTGGCTGTTGTGCCTCCTTCTGTTGATCCAGGTAAGCTTCAGAGAATTTTAAATTGTACCCTTTATTTAATCTACAGAAGTAGACTGTTCTCATTCTGCTGTCCATGTCAAGAGATAAACAAACACCTGAAGAAAACTGGAAGGCACAACAGTTGAAATGCTGTGATAATAACAACAAAAATGATTGACTTTTGGTTTTCCAGATACAAGTCCTACTATTTAACTCATAGCTAGGGGGAGAAGATATGGATTCATACCTTTCCCAAGGTGTACTTGACTTTGATTTCTCATTCTGAACCACTATCCATTACACCACCGACAACAAAAATAAGGACTTTACTTATCATTGTTTAAATTCACACTAATCACTCTAAAAATTCAGACAACAGTCAATTTCTCAAATCTTGTCAAATATATAAAATAACTTAATTTCTGATAACAGATGCCTACTTTTTGGAAATTGCACAAATATTTAATAAAACGTTTTTCCATGATACTTTTAAGGGGTGGTCATTGGGGAGTGTTAAGCTCCAATATGAGAGAGTTACTGTAAAAACTTGACTTCTATACAGCATGAGTGAAATAAAATTAATTTTTTCTTTCATTATTCTTTTCTAATCAATATTTAATAGCAATGTGTGTGAAACAAAAAAACTGGCATATGTTAAGTTAATATTAGGACTAAATATTAACACAGATGATGACAGGTAATTTTGCTATTATCTAATAAGCTATCTGTTCATTTTATTCGAACTCGTCTAATTTTCTAAGAGACATTTTACAGGAATCACCAGTTCATTTGATAAGGTTGATCAACCCAGTATTTATCGGTAAGTTTATTACTTCATTTTAATATAAACCTTTAACTCTAACAATTATACTTTAAGCAAGATTATCTTCAAGTTATGTTAAAAAGAGGTGGTTTCAAATGATTCACAAGGCTCAAAATTCAATATACATTTGCTCAAAATTTGAATTTGTTTTTTTTACATGTAAGCTTTCCCTTAACTCAAAGTCAGCATTACAATTTTTCCCAGAGTCATGAAAATATCTTAATAATTATAGCTAGTTAAAATGTTTTGTTATTTTCTGATGTGCTGAAAATCCATATTTTTATCATTCTATATATTTTTTTAAGGGGGGTGCTTGGCCAAGTGGTTAGAAAGTTAGCATTCTGACCATGAGAACTATGTTCAAATCTCACCATGGATGATAATATCAGCCAGGGCAGACGATCTCAGTACGCTGCACTGTTGGAAGAACCTGAATGGGTTGATCCAAACTTATGAGTAAAATTGGGTAGAAGAAACTGTTCAGAAGCCATCAATGGTTGTGTTAGTGTGACACTATGGTTGGGACACCCACATAGAAGAAAGTGTGATCTGATCTCGATTTGAAGTATTTCTGGTTTGTGGCAGGCCGTAGGATGTTTTTTTTTTTTTAAAAGTTCAGTAGTAACCACTTGACTGAAGAGGAAGAAAAGAACAAGTGACAGAATTTGGGGTCAAGCGACAACTGGACAATGATAATTTCTGGTTGCTGGTCTATATTAACATTCATTCTTGGGATTGAGGAAGCCAGTTTTGGTCTGTCCATTGTTTAGTCTGATGCCACCTGTTTATATTGCCAGCCACAGATCTAGATGTGTCAATGGTTTGTAATTTCAATGAGGGATGGAAGAGCTGAGCTGTTAGACTGATATGGCAGAGGTTTCCCCCAGGCGTCACCTACCTATCCACTCAGACCAAGCAAGCAAAGTTCTGAATAAAAATAATTTATAATATTGGAAACACATCTCGTGCTATCATTTCTCAACATGGCACGAGTTTTCATCTTTGTTATCTTGCGGACATGCAGGTCTTTCTCAGCTTTCAGTGCACACCAATGTGAACAAGAATCTAGACTCAACATAGGGTTTGTCCCGGGTAATACGCTAAACTACATCCGCGTCCTGGGTAAGATAAACTACATCCAGCAGCAAGGCCTCTGATCAGGAGGTTTTGAGGAGCGTAGAACCACCTATTAATTGCTGGTGGTCCCAGGTCCACCTTGACCCAGAGTGGTAACACCTGTTAGGGTTCCAGCTATGGGCAAATAGTTAACTATTGCCAGCAATACTTTTTTGAAAAAGTTTTTTTTTTACCAGCAATACAATTTTGAAGGAAAAATATTATCAGAAATAGATTTTTGACAAAACAAAATATTACCAGCAATAAAAAAAGTTGTCGGCATTAAATAACCCATTGAGGTTGATATGCCATAAAACAAAATAAACCAAACCAATCTAAACGAAAGAATACATATTCTATTCATATGAATCTATCCTAAAAATGTTGTTGGCATTAAATAACTCATTGAGGTTGATATGCCATAAAACAAAATAAACCAAACCAAATCAACATAGGGTAATCAGAGGCCAGTCAGTGTAAAACTGAGTGGATGCTGTGTTGTAGGCTTACAAGTGGCACTGTAACCAAGGTTTACTATCCAAGGAGAAATGTGGGATGCATCAAAATTGGCTCAAGACGCCTGTAGGCATGCAGTGACAAAACCTAGAAAGAAAAGGCTTGGCAAATGAATTAAGGCTCAGGAACACATGCACACATACGAGACCCAAAAAGAAAGCAAAACACACACACCCAAAAGGAATGAGGGTTGCATTGTATGTTTACATTGGCACAAAGTCACAACTATTAGTGACTGAGTGTCTGAGCATACTGACCTCATCCAAACTGGTGATCATGTCAAATTATGCATTCTCTCCCAGAAACTTTAACCAAGGTCTGCTCAGCATAGTTGCAATATAAACCACAGGTTGGCTCTTTGGGTGTTCAAAAATGTGCTGGAGCCAGTGTCTGCAATAGGGATTAGTTAATCACCCTATGAGACAGGCATACTTGAAAACAAGTGGGCATATTTTTAGTGTTTTGTAAATACTTAAAGATAACAAAATAATGCATCATGAAAGTTCAAATGGAAAGTGCATAAGAGTACCCCCAAAATCTACACATGAATTTAAAAATGAAATAAGCAAACTAAGCGTAGATTTTAAAACCATATGAGAGCCATTATTCAAAATAAATAAGTTTAGCATTTAAGCTCTTTCTATAACAAGAATCAATGCAAAAGTCATTTAAAATCCTCAGCTATGGCACTGAAATCTTTACCATTTTCTATAATAAAAATGGGAGTCAATAAGAGAACAGGTTTCAATCTTCCCTGTTATGCTGATATTACTAATATGAAATCTGAATACCCCACACCACAATTCTATTGCATTATAATGTTCTAGTTAAAGAAGTGATAAAGAACAAGGAAAAATTTCAAGTCAAATTCTGAAAACCACTTATAACATACACTGCAGGAAGGATGAAGAATGTATTGGCTGAAATGTGTATATAATAATAAAAAAAAAGTTAATAAAAATATTTAGTATAGTAATATATAGCTAGCACTGAAATAAAAACAAAAATTCCAACATACATATACAAAATAAATTTCATGACAAAAGTCCAAATATTATTACCATAATATTTATTTTAAATAATAAAATCATATAGGAGTCAGCGATGAGGAGCTACTATACAAAAACTGATGTCACATTGTAGTTGTAATAGGAGTAGTAGTAGTAACTGTGGTTTAAGTAGCAGTAGAGGGTGTTGCAATTGTTTCATTTGAATGAGAGTGGAGATGACACTAGATGTAGAATGTTTTTTTCAAAATTAAATCAGAATTGTAACTGCTTTGTATTGCATGTATGTGGGTGGTAGGGGATGGGGAGAGATTGAAAGAGAAAAGTATATTTATATAGATTTCATTTAAATGTGTACCTATCTAATGCATACACACAGATAGATACAAACATCCCCAGATGGATGTAGTAATAACAGATACATGTGATCGGGTTAATATTACATTAGTGAATATTTACAAAAATGTTATTAATTTAGTGTCATCCATACAGGAAGGGAGAAAAGAAAGGGGGGGGATCAGAAAAAGGGAAAGAAAAATATTAAAATAAGATTAAAAAAAATAAAAAATCCCCACTCCCTTGAACCTTTTCTGTCTTTCTTCTCTATCCCTCCCTGAATTTTAGTTCTATTAAAGAAGGGGGGGGGGTTAAATATAAAGTAAAACATAAAAGGAAAATTAAAAGAAAAGAGATGCCTTTGTAAAAATTAAAAATGAAAACCAATAAAAATCAGCAACATTGTAAAGCAAAGAAAAGTGTGTTTTGTGTGTGTGTGTGTGTGTGTGTGTGTGTGAGAGAGGGAGAAAAAGTGAAGAAAAAAAAAGAAAGAAAAGGAAAAAAAGCAATCAAATTACATGGACTAAGAAAAAACAGCAGCTCCATATAATAATCACTAGAAAGAAAAAAGACCAAAAGTTTTGGGGAAAGGAGAGGGAGTGAGAAAAAGAGTATGAGAGAGAGAGAGTAGCCCCTTTGTTGACAATGAGAAAAATCAAAAAGAATGAAAAGAAAAGAAAAACATTTTAAGTAAATAAACAATAAGCAAGAGTTTTTTTGTTTTTGTTTTTTAACCTGATGTCACATGACAAATGTAAGGGATTCTGGGATGGTTTGTTTGGAGGTTGGTAACCTGCTTCCACCGGAAACTTGGAAACATTTAGCAATTTTATAACTTTTTTTCTCAATAGCATCAACCACACACACCCAGTTTATTTTTCATAGTTTTTTGTTGTTCTTTTCAACATTTTTTAAAATCATTTAATTTACACAACTTAGTAATGTATTTCTTTTTTTGTTATGATTCATTTTTTTCTTTTTTCCATAACAATTTTACCTTAAAATTCTCTTAAGGTGACGGGATAAAATAACAATAGTAGAATAAAGGACCGAGAAAGAAAGAAAAGAGAGGAAGAGGGAGAAAGCATCAGTAGCAGCAGTGATGAAGATGTTGGTCATAATCTCAGGTATCAGTATCCATTGGGGACTCTTCACGATGTTGAGAAGATTCAGACCCAGAACTTTCAGCCATTGCAATGTCTGCTGGTTTAGAAGAGAGTTGTGTATGCTCAAAGCCACTCCCTAAAGAACCAGAATTTGCATCACAGTGCATAAGACTAGTGATCATTGAGTCTGGCTGGCAAGGTGCATAAGTGTCCGGGGTGATCATGGCATCTTGTTGCTCATCTGAATGGTGCAAAGAGGCTATTTCAATCACAGACTGTTGTTGACTTTCATAAGCTGCCGACTGGCACTCCAGCATCACAGCAGCAGTAGTTGGCTGGCTTGCAGAAAATTTAGAGGAAGGCGGAGTCAGAATTTGCTGAATAGCCGTATCCTCAGATGTGGCCGGGACTTCACTGGTGCCAATATGGCTAGAGTCGATAAACAGCGTTGATTGTGACACAACAGATGTCGGTTGCTGTTTGTTCAGACTTGAAGAAAAAAACTTACTTTGAGAAGGAAAATTTGATGAACAGGTTTGTGGCATGGTCTCTCCTTTGAGAGTACTAACTGAAGCACTCTGGAATTGCATAATTTTAGATCCAGAATTTATGCTAGTGTCATTATTGTTGCTGCTGTTGACGCTGTTGACAGTTGCTTCCTTAGCTACAGAATGGCCAGGTTGTTTTTGTATATTAGAATCATCCCACTTGGTGTCGTCAGAAAAGTCTGACATCGCTGATGAAGTGCATTCCTTTTTACTGCTATTAGCTTTTTTCTGGGACATGACAGATACCAAGTCTGAGGCTGGTTTTGTTAATGGTAAAAAATTCAAACTTGAATTAACATCCAAGTCATCAGTGCTGGTTTTCTGAAGACACTCTGATGTAACCTTTCCAACGTTCAGATCACTAACATTTGACGGAGATATCACTGGATCACGTTGCGACACATCAGATGATGATGAATGATGTGTGGATAGCCAAGAGAGGGCAGTTAGATTTTCTTGTGGCACTGGGGGGCAGCCCTCCTTAGAAAAAGTCTTCTGTTTTGTCAACTCAGCTTCTGGATCCTTATGCGAAATGTTACTTGATGTCCGCACAGGAAGGTGAGTGTTAGGCATCTTCACAGGTGAATGCAACTCTCTGGGAACAACTAGAGTAGCCAAGACTGAATCCACATTGGAGGCAAGGTTAGATGAAGTGGGCATTTCTTTTGATTCAGTTTTGGACTGTGAAGTAGTGCTAGGAGATGAAGTGGTAGTTTTGGTGGTAACTACACTATGAAAGGGAAACTTTTCTGAAGAGCCATGTTTCTGACTGGAGGACATCTTCTTACTGTGATTTACCTTAGATGAAGATGACTGATCTTCTCGAGTGTGGATAGAGCCCAAAACTGAGGTTGCATCTTCTCGACTGGAACAAGTCAAGGATTTTAATGAAGTTGGATTTTGAACTGCTCCAGACGATAAGCTAGATTTCAGAAGTTGCTCATGCTTTGTGGGTTTTGATGCTGACGACTTGGAAGTATATTCTTGCTTAACACTTGAAGATTTGGATTCATGTGTCAGTGGTGCAGATTTCTGGCTGAGCTCCTTTTTCACAGCAAAATGATGCTGCCCTAACAACATGGATGTAGATGAAGTAGATGATGATGAAGAGGAGGGGGAGGATGATGCATATAGCTGTTCTGAATTGGAGGTGCCCAGTTTCTGCATTGAGAAGTCCTGTGTCACTATGGTTGGAATCTGTGGAGTTTTGCCTGAGGGATGTTCAGATTTCACACATGTTGAATGATCTGATGACTGCGAAGAAGTCTTGTGTTTTCCACATGCAAGATTCTGGTCATGCCCTGATGATGCTGATATTGGAGTGTGACCATGTCCAGAGTGTATTGCTGAAGGCTCCTTTTTGGTAACAGAATGCTCCTTCTTTACAAACGATTCCAGCTTGAAAGGTGAACCTTTTTTGTGAGGTTTTGAATAACTTCCACTGGAATCAGGAATCACAGATGAGTAAGTATGGGTGTAGCTTTTGGATATGGATTCAGGAATCGTGTGAGAGCATGGAGTGTGTAGGATTGGTGTTTTGCTGCTCATCCTGGAGTGAGGAGATGACAAGGACATGTGGCTTTCCACTGTCACTTCTTGTTTCACAGGAATATCATCAGGTTTGATGGTGGGAAAAGAAGAAAACTCTAATTTCACATTACCCTCCTCTTCCATTGGCTCCTCCAGTTTGCTTCCCACATCCTTTGAGTCCTCCTCCTCTTCCTCTTCTTCATTGTCTGTCTGGAGATCAGGATAGTAGTTTCGGAGTCTGACATGCCATGCAATGCTTGTTACTGCTGACACAGTCTTGAACTGGTGCACAACATTTCTTGGGATGAAGTAAATATCATTATCACGCAACTGAATGCGGGCATAACGGATCCCTTCCCGGTGCAGTTGGTTCAGTTTGGCATCTTCAACCCAAGTTACACACTAGAGAAAAAGAAAAAAGAAAACATTATCTTGCACACTGCAGAGGGAATGAAAAGTCCAGACCTTTTCTAAAGGGAAAAAGTTTGAAAAAGGTTTGTGAATGAAATTTTGTTTTTAAAAAATTCTGATAATGGTTAATTTTTTAAAAAGCTATTTTATTGTGCTCTTGAGAAAAAGTTAGAAAACTCTCCTAAAAGACAATGCCTTACAACATTAAACATGTACAAGGGAGTTTAAGGGTGCTGAAAGTTTTCTAGCCTAACCCTTAAGAAAACACACACAAAGGTTTGGTCATATTTTAGAAAGTGGAGAGCGAGAAATTTGTAACTGGATTTTATGAAGTATTAAACATCTAAGTTAAACTATACCAATCAAAAACAAGTTAGACATGCTTCCCCTCTCCATTAAAAAAGGAACCCTATTATCAAAACGAAGGGTCTACATTTTAACACACAAAATACATGTTGCTTTCTCAACAATAGAAAGGAGTCATTTTCCTTCTTTATATAAGAATAAAAGTTAATTTTTTTTTTTATACTTCTACTTGAGTGTTTATAAGAGCAACATGAGCCCATCTTACAAAAGGTCAGAATTTGACAAAAAAAAGAAAAAGAAAAGGAAATAAATTAATGAGTACCTGAGATACAGGTGGTTCATGAAGGTCAAGCTGCATTTTGTTGACCACTTGTGGAAAATCTCCTGGATGAAAGCAAATGACATCTTTCACAACTCTATTCTGACATGGCGGACTGAAATAGAAAAATAAAAAAAAAGTTCATTATTTTTTTAAAAGCAATGTAAAACATTTACCTGTCTACAACACAGACATGTGAATATAAAACAGCAATTTTCCAAGGCATTTATTTTAATTAGCTTATAATTTTGCATAAGCATTGTACTATGCTTTGACAAAACATGCTCACATATTAGTTGCAGATGACTGCAGATAAACTAAATAACTTCAACACAATTTTTTTTTTTTTTACTTACTCATCAGGTTTGTGGACTGCCTTGAGTACTCCAACAGCAGCAGTCGTGCGCCTATCAAAGCCATGTCCCACATGATCAGCATGGCAACGAGTTCTATCTTCTACCAAGACTTCACGAGGTTCAGAAGCACGTGGCAAATACTGTAGGTTCTTCAATTCATTCATACCTCTGAAAAAAGGAACAAAAATATTTTTCAATAAGTTATCAAATTGTAAAGCAAATAAGTCAAAATAAAAACGTAAAATAAGCCAATAATAAATCCTACTTATTTAACCAGCATATATCAAGAGGGATGTTAAAATATAGGGAAAGAAATTGAAATAATTATATTTATATGCTTGACAAGTTTGTAAATGTTTACCTGCATTTAACTGGCAAACATTGTATCAGTTCATCAAAACTCAAATTTTCTATAAGTAGAATTTTTTTTGCAATACATGTCAGCATGTTGAAATCTTCACAGTATTTAGTTTTGTTCAAGTTTTAACTAACATTTTTGTTGAGATTTACAAACTATGTGCCATTCAATTTCACAAACCAGTTGATGAAATTTGAATAAGCTGATTTGTTTGGAAAAATACTTTGACAAAACCCTACTTCAGTTTTTACACCCCCAAGTAAAATCAACTGTACTTACCTGTTTGCACTTCTCCCCAAAATTTAGTTCCAATCAGTCAATGTATGGCTAATTTAGGCACAGAATTTTATATATAATATAGAAGATAGATTGTAGCCAAACACTGAATATAAAGTTAAGAATGATTCAAAGAAATCAATTAACCAAATTTGATATCATACACTGGAAATATCATTTTTGTATAAATATATAGTATTGGCTCACAAATAGATCAAAGAATCTTTACTTCCTTTCAATTTCCCAAAATAATTGTAAATGAGGTTTGAAAAATTGCAGCCAAATACAAAAGGACGATAAAGAGAGTAAAATATTCCTTCCAAATTGTTTTCATTTTAAAATCTTTAAATGATGAAAACAGACTTAAATAGTTGATCAAGCATAAAATCTTAGGAAACCAATTGCATCTGTAATAATATGAAAGTATGGTATATCAATTTAGAACAATTTTTTTATAATTACTATGATAAATTAATTATAAAATTGTAAATTATTTTTTCAATCTTCATTAGATAGATTATAATCCAGTGGAGACTTAAGAGCATGGAATATTTTATTGTAATAGAAATAAAAATGCTTGTGCTCTCGCACTAAGTCATGACAAAATCTTAAGATTTCAAAGTATTAGTTTAGTAATAAAGATGGGTTTACATTCAGAGCAAAAGTTTCTTCAGTTGCTTTTACTATTTAGTGAATTTACTCTAAGTGTATTGAATGGTTAAGACATTTGTTTCCTGAGCATGAAATCTGGCTTCCAACCTCACTTTGATTGATTTGTCAGATAGGTGACTTCTTGATGTTATCAGCCTGGGAAAGTGATCCCAGGCATGCAGTACCATTAGAAAATGTCTGAAAACCAGACCACATGTTGACTCAAGCCTTGTGAGTGAAAATGGGTAAATGGAATTGCTAGCACAAAGTTCTAAATTATTGTGAACAAAGGTTTCAGTATAGTGGCCTTGCTCAAACTGCAAATCATGACAAATTATGAGCTCTCTTTCCCCATAAACTGTAACTAATGCCCTCTCAAGATAGTTGCAGTATAAACCACAGGTAGGTTCTTTGAGTGTTGAACAAACACAAAATGCTAGAGAAGGCATATGGAGCAAGAAGTGGCTAGCCGTCCTAACAGACAGGTATACTTGAAATTGAGTGGCCAGCCATTAAATTAAAACCAAACCAACAGAGCCCTCATCATAATATTCTATTGGCAAGAAAGATTGGAAAAACATACTATATTATGAAATCATAAGAAAAAGAAATGTTTTTCTATTATTTCTCAATAAAACACATTTAACAGCAAGCATGAATATATAGAAGGAAAAGTGAAACATTGAAAAAGAAATTTTTTTTTATTTTTTTATGGAGACTGGCAGTATTCAGACAATGCTCTGTAGTGGCACAATATTCTATGCTGTATGGAAATCAAAAGATAACATTTTTATTCAGACACTGTATTGTTTCTGTTTTACATTTAATCTTGTAATGCATAAGAAAGAATTAAATTAATACATATCCGTCTTGGTAGTTTATTTTTTTTTTAAAACAATGCATATTCTCTTTTGTCAAATCAATTTCTATGATTTAATTTGCAGAAATTATACAGAGCCATTCAAAAATGAACACTAATCTGGGATTGGTAAATTGAAATACTGCAAACTTAAAAGGATGAGAATATAGAAAGTCTTAATAAATTTAAGCAAAAACCAAACCTTCAAATGTAACAATTGGGGGTAGTGCATCAAGACGTATAAATGTCAAAGGTTATAATGTCAAATTTAATTCAAGATTTGCTACATTTATACTCATGCATGGAAAAAAAAGTTATTTGCTTTAAATCAGAACATATGAATAGAGGACTACCTGAAATCTATGTGGGTCACATAGCACAGTACAATCTCCTTTAAGGTTGATAAAACTAAGTTAAATAAGATCATTAAGTTGTTATTTTCAAATATATCAGCAAGACTAGAAGCTCCAAACAACACATCTAAGTTTACATATCAATAAGATTGTACTGATGCTGTAATAAGAAAAGTGAAGAATTTATTATCTGCATGAATATGCATGTGTGCATACCCATATATAGAATAAGGATCTAAGTGTGCATGATGCAAGTTTTACAACAGAGGATTTTAACAGCAGTAGCAGTAGCTTTAGATAGAGGCAGCTGCACTTCCCAAAGTTGAAGTGACAAAAGACACAACAAATAATAGACTTATTGATTTTATAGCCAACATGAAGAATGAAGAAAAAAAAAAAAAAAAAAAAAAAAATGACATCGGGTGTGTAGAGAGATCAAGAAATGTATAAATGTATGGTTGAGAGAGGACTGAAGAGGATAAAAAAATAAGCAAAGAAAGAAAGGAAAGATGTTTGAATCAGACCATTAAAAAAAGAAAAGAAAAAAAAAAGCAAGACAAAAAGTTGAGCTGATAGGAAAAAAAATTCAATATATAAAAGATTAATTTTCTATGTACATAGTGAGATGAGGTGGGGAAAAAAAAAGGAATATTAAATTGTCAGTTAACAAAGCAAAATGGCAGTAATGGGTGCTGAGTGAACAAATCATTAGAGACCTTAAATTTAATTCCAGTAAATAGGGTTTATTTACAACAATTTAAACTAACTTTTAAATCAAGGTGGTAATAGACAATAACAAATTACTGCTTTAATGATGTCAGAGTCTACATAAAAAAATTAGAAAATGCTCTTAAAGCTGAAGATTTTTCCCATAAATTCTCCTTTAATTTTACACATCTGGATTATTCTTGCCTAACTTCCCACTTAGAACAGTCTTTATTGAATATGCCTATAACCCTTTTATGGTTTCTTCTATCATCTCTATCTGGATACCCACAAAGCATGTGAACCTGACGGTATCCCTGTAATAGTCCTTAAGAAGTGTGCTCTCATTCTCTCTAAACTGTATAATAAATGCTGCACTGCCTTAGTCTACTTTACTTTCCTGTATGCTGGAAAACCTCTTCTGTTGTTCCAGTTTTAAGAGCTCCGTGTGAACTGTCCAACCCTTCCAATTATTGGCCTATTAGCTTTCTACCTCTTTTTGGGAATACAATACTAATCAATGCTGAATTAAGCACCTAATATTGCCGGGCCTTCTTTCAGATAAGCAATATGGCTTTTGTTTCTCTCAGTCAGCTGCTGATATACTGACAATAATTGTGGAAAGAGTCTATCAAGCTCTAGATAAGAATGGTGAAGCTCTGGCTGTTGCTTTGGACATCTCGAAAGCTTTCAAAAGGGTTTGCCATGCAGATTATCTTTACAAATTGAAATGTTATGGTGTGTCTGTCCAAATCTTTCTTATCAAATCATGAAATGAATGTTATCCTGAACAACCACTCTTCTAGATCCTTTTGTATTAATGCAGTTGTCCCCCAGGACTCCATCCTTGGTCTACTTTGTTTTTAATTTTCATTAATGACCTTCTTGATGACATCAGCTCTCAACTTAGTATCTATGCTGATGATACAACCATTTACTCCTGTCTCGATATTAAGCCCGATCAGTCCAATAAAGTCAAATTGGCAGCTGATGTCAAAAACGACCTTCAGTCTGTTAACTGGAGCAAAGGATGACTTGTTAATTTTAATGCCACCAAATCTAAACAGCTCTATTAATCATCTGAGAGACCCTTTTCTGCCTTCCATCAGCATGGTTGATGCTAATCTCGAAGAAAGTGACTTATTGAGCCTTCTCTGGCTGACATGAAGAAGAAAGAGTATATTGAATCCATTGCTAGGTCAGATGCTAAGAAAAGTTAGTTCACTGTGTCGTGCTAGACAATTTTTCACTACTGAATCTATTTTACATATCTATAAGTCTACCATTCATCCATGCTTAGAATATTGCTGCCACATATGGTCCAGTGCTCCAGCTATATATCTAGTGAACTTTGATAAAATCCAAAGAAGAATCAGCAATATTATTGGCCTTGATCTGGCATCTCAACTTCAGTCACTTTCCCGTGCCTTCTCTATAAATACTTTTATGGCAACTGTTTGGATGAGCTCTTCCCCATGTTACCTAGACTTTATGAATTTAAATGCAATACTAGACTGGTGGTGAGGTCTCACCAATTTTCTGTTGAGTTGGCAAGATGCAACCATAAGTTCTATGCTGACGGTTTCTTTTCTTGCACTTCTCACTTGTGGAACTCCCTTCTGGCTCCATGTTCTCCAGTCAACTTTAATCTTCAAAAATTTAAATGCTATGTCAATTGCTATCTACTGTCCTCCTGATTACTCTTTTGTTCTCACGCCTTTGTAAAGTTCGTTTTCTAAATTTTCCACACCCAATAACACCTTGTGTTTTAGTGGCTTTACTGCCTTGCTTGGAATGCAACTGATAAAAAAAAAAAAAAAATAATAAAATAAATAAATCTGGAAAGTTCTCAATGCATCCACAGTTTTTTAAAATAAATTTTTCAAACATTGGATAATAACATGAAAATAACTTTTTGTAATGGAATATTAACTAAAATAAAAATGTTCAAAATATTTCAGAAATT